AGACACTGGAGATACCTGAGAGAAGAAACAAATTCCTGCCTTTGTGGAGCTTGCATTCTAGGAAATGCGAAATACTGAATATATATCTTAAATGTTTCATTATAAAATTTAAAAAGAATTTTAAAAAGAATGAGAAATATTTAAGTGAAACCTCAATTTTAAAATGGTACAGTCTTCTTCTCTGGGAAATCACCCCAAAGCAATAAGGAGATGAAAAAGCTCCTTACAGACAGATTGTGCATTGGATAAGATCCATTATGAAGAGTGACTGGAACAAGCTTGGCAGAAAACAGTCACATTCTCCATTTCTCTATTCACCACCACCCCCGCCCACCCTCCGACCCCATTCAACTGCCCTGCGGGGTAGGAGTAAGAACTTAGCGTTAAATGTCTTCAAGAAACGCCACGAGCTCTGCTTGTCTTACCTGAAGTTTTCAATCGCCTTGTGACTGGAAAAGGGGTATCTTCAGGTGCGGAATTATTAAGAAAAACCGTGAGCTCCACTTCACTTTCCCGGAGACTTAGTTGGGAAGGACTCGGACGAAGAAGGAGGTGAGCGGAGAAGCCCCGCCCTGACCCGCTTCCAGGGCGGAGCCTGGTCCTGTCACGCCCACCGACCCAGAGGGGCGGGGCGACGTCGTGAGGCCCGGTAGGTCCGGCGAGCAGACGCCCAATCCCTCGGGCTGAGAGTGAGGTAGGCTTGGCGGAGGAGTGGCAAATGGGCGAGGGCGGGGCGCACCTACTGCATTTGCGCAAGCAGCCGGACGCCGCCGTGGGACCGCCCAACGCTCCTGTCAGCGAGTCTCGCGCTACCTGCCCGATGGCTCCTGCGCGCTGCGAACTCCACCCTTGGGGTCACCTGTCGAAGCGCCCCGCCCACTTCGCCCCGCACAAGCGCACTGAGAGGCACCCGGGCGAGGGAGTCACGTGTCGCGCGCGAGCCGCCTCCCGGGCGGGCGCTTCCTGTCGCTGCCGCTGCTGCCGGCCGGGGGCCACGGAGCCCAGGGCGGTGCCGGGCGAGGGAAGGTCCGGATTTGGTTCGGATCCGCTGCGAGGTATGCCGCGTACCTGCCCCCCGGCGTGGGGAGAAGGGGGGACGGCGGGGCCGATGGAGGCGTCTTGGGCAGGGCAGGGCAGGGCAAGGCGGCGCGTCCGGTCGTGCAGGAGTGGAGGGCTTCGCCTCCCCCTGCGGACTCCGCTGCCCACCTCTCTCCTGAGCCTGGGTCCAGCATCGGAGCCGCAGGTTTGGAGTGTCTGACTGACCTCGTCCTTCCCCGGAGCTGGGCACTCCCGTGGCCCTAGCTCAGTTGACGTCCCCACCATTCACCCGAGTCACCGAAATCTGACACCTGGAATCATCCTGAGCCCCCGCTCCCATGCGACCACATCCAGTTAACCTCGGAGCCCTGTTGATTTTTCCTCCTAATTCTGGAATCCGTCCACTTCTCTCCATCCCCTCTGCCACCCCCACGCTCCATCAACCAACTCCTTCGCCTGGACTGTTGCAAGATGCTCAGTACCGAGATTGCTTCTTGTCTTATTCCTCCTCCTTCTTCCTGTGCACCTACCCTTCTGCATCCAGAGTGATGTTTCTGAAACGCCGACGTGTTCCCTTCACGTCTCTCCCCATTGCTCTCAGAATATGCCCCAACTCCTTTAGTCTTAATGGTTTTTCTACTTTGCCCCTTGTTCACATTTCCATCTTCTCGTACCATTTCTGATCTCACATTTTATGCCCCAGTAACACCAGCCTTTAGTTTCCTTGTGCAGGCCAAGCTGTTTGTCACCTCAGAACCATGATCAGGTTGTTCCCTCTGCGTGGAATCCTATTCCCCTGTCTTCCCCTCAGTTTCTCCATGACTCAGCAGAGGCAACATCTCCAAGAAGCCTTTTCTCGGGGCTGGATAAAGGGCCACCTTTGGGCACCCATAACCCCTGGAGCAACCCTGTGTGGTTCATGGATCTGTCTCCACCATGTAAATGTTCCTGGAGGTCTGAGACCATGTCAGATTCATTTCTGCACTCCCAGTGCCCAGCACAGGGTCCGACACATAGTAGGTCCTGTGAATGAGTGTGAGATCTCGGAGGGAATCAGAATGCCGAGTCAGGTTTCTCTAGAGCAGAGTTGTCCAATAGAACTTTCTGTGACGATGAAGTGTGTGCAGTGGTAGCCACTAGCCACATATGGCTATTGAGCACTTGAAATAGTGTGGCCGAGGAGCTGGATTTAAAATTTTAATTTTAATTAACTTAAACTCGAATAGCCACATGTGGCTTCCATAATGGACAGCGCTGCTTTAGAGCCTTTCTGAATCCTTTCCAGCCTTGTACCCATCCTGTACCTAGAGTTACTTCCCCTAATCTGCCTTCCAAATTTGTCAGTTCAATAACTTTATATTGTGTGTCCACACTTCCCATTAAACCCATTAACAGGCAGTACCATCCCTTCTATCTCCCACGTTACTTGCTTCAGTGCTGTAATTCCAAAATTAGTATTATATCCTTTGGTGTTAAGCATTGCCTTCTTTGGGAGTTTACTAACCACACCTTACCACAGGTAGCACCGTTGGGGGCGGGGCTTATAGGCTACTCCAGTCTGAGTCTCTTCAACTCCCCACTGGACAGGTATCTAGGCTGCCAAGATGCCAAGGCCAAGACCTCGGAAGTCCCCTCAGGCCAGTGGCCAGGGTGTGGCAGCTGCCAAGCAGGTATGGACATAGCCTCCTATACCCCTGGGCCAATTTGGGGATGGGGGGGATCTGTAGACAGCTTGGGTAAACTGGGTCACCTGTGTGGTTTCCCCATGAGTACAGAGATTTTGAGCAGTACCTCCTGGAGGTGGCAGAGCCCTTAGAGGCTCTAACTATCCCCTGCCAAACACAGGAGAGGAGGCCTGAACTTCCCTCCTGTGTTTCAACCCAGGCTTCTGCCATGATCACTCCACGTGAATGATCTGGAGGGTTCCAGAGCCACTAAAGTTTAGTGTTCTGATGGGACTTCAGTGCTCTCATGGGTTCCTCATTTAGGGTCACAGCTTTGCTCACCTGCTAAGGATGCCAGGGCTTGAGGGCTGTGGCCCAAGTGGGAGACTAAAGGGGTCTGTCCTCTAATTTTCTCCCTTTATTTCTTCTGATCCTAAGTCCTAAGACTTCTTAGTCTATTAAGGGAGGTGGTAGGGTAAAGGGCACAGACTCAAGTCACAAAGACCTTAAATTCTGGCTCTGTCACTTACAAGGCTGTCTCAGTTTCATCTGAATATTGGGATAAAAATAGGAACTACCTCTACCTAGAGCAGTCAAATTCATAGAGACAGAAAGTAGACTGGTGGTTACCAGAGGTGAAGGGAGGGAAGAATGGGGAGTTAGTGTTTACGGGGTAGAGAGTTTGTTTTGCAACATGAAGAGTTCTGTGGATGGTGATGGTACCATGATGATGTGAATGTATTTAATGTCACTGAACTCTACACTTAAAAATGGTTAAGATGGTAAATTTCATGTTATGTGTGTTTTACCGCAGTTTAAAAAAAAAAGTAAGGCCTACCTCACAGATTGTGGGACTACGATAATCATGTAGAATGTCAAGGACGGTGCCTGGCAGCTATTGCTTGTTATTATTAGTTATAATAAAAGCAGTGTAATCTTTTGGGTTCTTCGTAGAGTCCCCAGGGAGATAAGTGTACCAAGGGGTAATGCTGCAGGCCTCAGTTTCCCTTTCTGCACATCGGGCCTAATAGACTAAAGAGGCTAATGACTGGGGCATTGGAATCCGCACGTCTGGCTCTGGGGCTGGCTCCATCCTGCTTTACTGTGTGGTTCCTAAGAATCCTTCTCTGCTCTCAGCTGGGGCTGTTTGTGGAGTTCAGCCCTGAGGACATGCTGCTAGGGATTGATGAGACTGAAGATGATGGGGACCTGGAGGCTGAGCTGCTGACTCTTACTGGGGAAGCAGGGACCACAGGCAGGAAGCCAGCACCCAACGGGCAAGGTCAGTTTGCAACACTGGGCTGAGCTTGGTGCTGGGACCAGATGAGTGAAGGCTCAAGAGGGTCCTTGCCTGGCAGCTGGGAGGAGCCAGCCAGATCCCCTGGTCCTTCTAACATCTATGTCCCTCTGCAGCACTCCTCCAAGAGGCCATCTCACCCTACTTACATGTAACCCTGTGTGAGGGGAGCTCACTCCCCCCATTACCCCCCTTCCCCCACCCCAGGCTGCCCCATCACCATTGTGGGCAAGTCTGATTCTCAGGCTGACTCAGCCTCTGTCCTTAGCCCTAACCAGGGCCTGGTGTAGAGTAGGGGCCTGGTTAGCATGGATTGAATTGGGCACGTAGTAAGTGCACAGAAATTGTGTCAAATGAATATGTGAAATCTACCTCCACAGCCTGGACGAGGACAGAGACCTTAGGCCTGGGAGGATCAGGGGGTCTAAATCTTACTCTTTTCCCACCAGGAACCCTCAGAGAGAACCATCACCCATCCCATGTGCCCCTGAGCTGAGGACAGTGGGAAGACCTGGGAAAGGGCTCACTGGTCTGGCCCTGTTTTGGGGTTAGACTAGGATTGTAGTGGTAGGAAAATGAATGTTGGTAGTTCTCAGTTTACTCAATATATAAAATGGGGATGGGTGGCTGGCTAGCTCACTTGGTTATTATTGTGTGGTGCTGATAACACCAAGTTCAAGGGTTGGGATCTCTCCACCGGCCAGCTGCCAAAATCAATCAGTCTATCAATCAAATCAAATCAAATGGGGATAACATTATCCATCTTGCAGAACTGTTGTGAAGGTCAGTTGGGATTTAGAAATCTTTAGAGAGGTGGAAGGTGTGGTTGGGGGGAATGGAAGGATATGTCTGTGAATAACTCCTATAGGCAGAAGTGCAGAGAAAGCAGCAGATTGTTTCTTTTTGGGCCCAGGAAGGTTTCCCTGACAAGGGTCTTTTGAGCTGGGTCATAAAGGAAGAGCAGTTTTCCAGGTGGGATTTTGCTATGGGAGGGAAGGGGGATTTCTGCCTGGGTGTATCCCCTGATACAATGGATTGAAGACCCTCCTTTATTCGTTCTGGACCTTATCTGAGTTACACTGACCCTCTGTGACCCTCTTCCCCCAGCCCCCCTGCCCATGGCTCACATTGAGAAGTTGGCAGCAGACTGTATGCAGGATGTGGAGGAGGAGGAGGAGGAGGAGGAAGAACAGCTGGAGGAGGATGCAGACCTACTGGTGCGTCTTCCAGGCTGGTTTCCAAGGGCTCTGCGGTCAAGCTTGGGCCTGTGGAGAGGAGGCCTGGGGTTTGTCCTTCTGTGTTCTCTGACTTTGTGTGAGTGCCTTGCCCTTCCTGGGCCTGTCTTCCTGACTGTATAGTGAGACGTCTCCTTTGACATCTGGTCTGAGCTCTGCAGTTGGGGATTCTCAGATTTGGAGTCTTCACTGTTTTCAAGGCTATCCGTGGCCAGATTAAAGAAGTGTTTTGGTAAAGAGGACTTTCAGGCACAGTGACTGAAATATTGCTGTGGGGAGAGGGTACTTAATTCTCAGGTCCTATCATAGGTATGGCCATGAAGCCCCCAAGCTCCTGAGACTTGTGTCTCCCCAGACTGAGCTGCAGGAGGTCCTGGGTGCAGATGAGGAGGCTGGGCCCCTGGATGGCGATGAGGCAGCTAGCCCAGGCGTCTCTGAGAAGGAGAAGGGACAGGAAAACATTGACCCTCCAGTGCAGACAGCCCTCCTAACGGCTTCAGTCCCAGTGGCTCAGGTAGGTTCTGTAGGAGGGTCCTGTGGGCCTTCCGTGCTCCTGCATGTCCATGTGTAACATGCATGTAGCATGGCTTGCCCAGCAAGACTGCAGTAACCATTTCCAGGACTCTTCCCCCAGCAGCTGCCCCAAGCAGAAACTGAGCATGAAAATCTCCTCTGTGGCGGGCGGGCGGGCCTCAAAGACCTCTCTGTTCTCCCAGGCCCCCCTCAAAGCCATTTACTGGGCCTCTGTATTTGCTTGTGACATGGCCTCTGGCCTCTCCAATGAGTCTTTGCTTCCCACCTTGAGGCTTTTAGGCTCTTTAGCTTCATCTTCTGGGGCAGCTTCCTCACAGGGAGGGAATTCCAAGGGCCTCAGTGGCCCTCGAGTGGCCAGGCCCTGAGCTGAAGTATCTGCAGGCTGGAGGGCCTTGGGGGCTGCAGGCTTTGCTGGAGGAACGGATCCACAACTACCGGGAGGCTGCGGCCAGTGCCAAGGAGGCAGGTGAAGCAGCCAAAGCCAGGCGCTGTGAGCGTGGCCTGAAGGTGAGTCAGGCTGGGCCGGAGGGCAGGGCTGGGGGCAGCGGGGCTTATGGGGCTGGGGGACAGGCAGCAGGAGGAGGTTGCACCAGTTGGGGGTGGCCTCCCCACTAGACTTGTGGAGGTGATGAATCCCCGGCCTGTCTTAGAGCAGGGTCCGGGCCGAGATGGCTGGCTGGGTCTCTGGACTAGTTCTCTCCCTCAGACTCTGGAGTCCCAGCTAGCCGCTGTAAGGAAAGGCAGGAGGATCAATGAGGATGAGATACCACCTCCAGTGGCCTTGGGCAAGAGGCCCCCGACCTCCCAGGAAACAGCCGACAGGAGCCCTGAGGCAGAACCCCCTGCTCCCCCTGCCATGGAGTCAGGTATCTGGGGACATCCACATCCTGTCCTAGTTCCCAGGGTCAGAGCCCATGGCTTGCCTCCCTGGACTGCAACTATCCACTGTCACCAGCCACACCTCCCACAACAGTTCTTCCAGCCAGCAAGGCCTGTGGGTACTGGGAACCCAAAGCAGGCATCTTCTTCTTTGATCCTCATGCCCTCTCTGTAGGCTTTTGTTTCCCTGTAGATAACCCCTCCCAATGTGAGACAAGCCTCCTGGGCAGTCCTTGTGTTTCTGCCCTGCCTGATTCAGACCCAGACCCACGGGACCTGTTGCTGGTCAGACAGAGAGAGTACAAAGTGGCTGCCCTCAGTGCCAAGCGGGCTGGAGATCTGGACCGTGCGCAAGAGCTCATGAGGATTGGGAAGGTATGACATCTGGCTCAGAAGTCCTGTGCCCACCCCTCATTTTACAGATGGGGAAAACTAAGATTCAGAGAGGGAGCTGGATTTGGCTTGAATGAATTGGCCTGAGGGGGAGTTGATTCAGCCCATGGTTTTGGGGTTCCCTGGCTACATCCACACTTGGTTTTCTTACTACTGCAGAGATTTGGTGCTGTCCTGGAGGCCCTGCAAAAGGGGCAGCCTGTGGACCTGAGTGCCATGCCCCCGGCACCTGAAGGTAAGTCTGGGAATTGGCAGGGGTTCTGCTCAGGCTGGGGTTGGGGTTGGGGTTAGGGAGGAGTATCAGGCCTGAGCCTGGCCAGGCACCTCCACCTGCACCTCTGCTCTGGGTTCCCAGATCTGAAGCTCCTTCCACAGGCTTCGAAGGCCCCCACAGCATCCTCAGTTATACTCCCAGCAGTGGAGCGAGTGCAGCCAGTGATGGCCTCTGATATCCCAGCAACTCCAGGTAGGACAGGACGGGGGGTACTGTGGAGGGGGGACCAGGGGAGGAGCAGGCAGAGCTGACTCCCTCTCCTCCCCCTACTTCAAGTGGCCCCGACAGAGCCACAGACGGTGCTGGATGCCCTGCAGCAGAGGTTGAACAAGTACCGTGAGGCGGGCACCCAGGCCCGGGGCAGTGGGGATGAGCGCAAGGCCCGGATGCATGAGCGCATTGCCAAGGTGGGCCCATGGCCGTGCCACCCCCTGGCCTGTGTTTGCCCCTTTCCCAAGCTTGCTACTCTCTCTCGGCTCCTCTAGCTATCCCTGGTCATTTCTGAGTCTTCATCTGTCTGTCTGTTCCTCTCTCTCCGTGGAGCTCTTGCTGTCTCGGGGCTCTTTTTTCTCAAAGACCTGCCATCTGTCCGTCAGTCTTCCTCTCCCTGCCTCTCCGTGTCATGGAGGGCACAGAGCTTGTGGACTGCTGCCCACCACAGGTTCCCCCTTCCTTCCCTTGCAGCAATATCAAGATGCTATTCGAGCACACCAAGCAGGACTGAAAGTTGACTTTGCTGCGTTGCCAGTGCCTCCAGGTGAGTGGGGCTCTATGAGGAGGTTTCTGAACAAGAAGGGAGGGTTGGGGAAATGATTTTCAAGTGTCTACCTCTACCCTGTGGAAGCCACCCATCCTGGCCATGCCCAGGCAGAGCCAGACAGGGCCCATGGCAGTCTTGTGCCTCCCTGAGGCTACTCCACCCCCTCCCAGCTTTGTCTCTCTCTTCCCCAGGATTTCCCCCCATCCCTGGCTTGGAACCCACTGTGGGCACCAAGGATGATGCAGTGGCTCTGACTTTGGCAGCTGCCCAGAAACTAGTCTCCTCAGAGGATACAGTCCTGGCAGATGAAGACCAGGATGAGGATGAGGTTTGGCTGAGGGCCCAAGACTCCAGGGGTTGGTGGGGGAAACAGCAGATGAGGGGTAAACCCAGACCCTGTTGTTGTCCATACTAATAAGCAAGTGAGGTACGTATTCTTTTCTCCACTTAACAGCGGAAAAACTTGGCCACGGTCACCCAGCTAGGAGATAGCAGAGTTAAGATTCAAACCAAGGCCTTTCTGACTTCAGAGCCCAGGTTTCATCCCCATTACCCTGCTCTCTCCTATTGGGAAGATTAGATCAGAGAGCTTTTCAGGTGGCTTCTACCTCAGATCTTTTACGGCCCAGGAGAGAAAGCCATTCAGGTCACATGGTTAGTGCAGCGTTAGGAAGAGCACCCAAGTCTGGGAATTGCTACGGCCAGGGTGGGGAACAGATCCCCTGTGACAGCCTCCTGGGCACCTGCAGGGTGAGCCCCCAGCACAGGCCCCAGAGGCCAAGAAGCCGGTGCAGCCTCTGGTCCCTTCATCCCGGCCCCTGACTGAGCCCAAGGCCTTGAGTTCTAAGGAGTCACTGAGTCCATCTGGTGAGTTGGGGACAAACAGGATGGAGAAGTGGAGGGTCTAGAGAGGGGCAGTCATGGCCCTAACCAGTGGCCCTCTCTCTTCAGTGCGGGAGCAGCTGGCACTGCTAGAGGCACGGAAACTACAGTACCAGCGGGCAGCCCTGCAGGCCAAACGGGGCCAGGACCTGGAGCAGGCCAAAGCCCATCTGCGGGTAGCTAAATGTCTTGAGGCTCAGATCACCCAGGCCCGAGCTGGCCGACCTGTTGACCTTTCCAAGGTGAGTTGTACATGGTTAAACATTAGGCAGAGGAGATGGTGGCAGGCTTCACAGGCAGGTCTGTGAACTAAGGCAGCGTCTGGGAGGAGGTGGGATTTGGATAGGATGTAGTGTCATCTGGGAGAGAGCCTTTTGCTTATGCCTCTCTCTGCATTATGGCCCCAAGAGAGACCAGGGGAAGGGAGGGTGGGCTGCTGTGGTCAGAGACGGCAAGGCCAGTGGGAGGCAGAGTGTTCCAGCAGCCTGTGATAGAGTAGAAGGTGTGAGTTCCCATCACTGGAGATTAGTTCCCATCACTGAAGAAATACTTAGTTTGGATTCCTGAATTTTGGGGCTCAGTAGAGGAATAATCTGACTCTTGGGGCCCGAGGGGCCTTGTGACCTGGGCAGGTGCCTTCACCTTTAACGGATGAGGAGGGTGACTTCATCCTCATCCACCATGAAGACCTACGACACTGCCAGAAGGCTGATGAGGTGTATGCCCAGTTACAAAAAATGCTTATGGAGCAACATGAGGTCAGTTGGTCACTTGTCCATTCCTCCCCTTTCAGTGCCCACTGCCTCCTGTGGGGAAAAGTGTGGGGCTCTGACCAGACAGGCCTAGATTCAAATTCTCCACTTAATGGTTGTGTAAACTTAGGAAGGTTACTTCTCTCTGATTCACATTTTCCTCATTTGTAAAATGGGATGATAATACCTTTCTTTCAGGGTGGTTACAAAGTTCAAACCGAGTGGAAGGGAAAGGACTTAGTAGATGGGAGGGGAGATAGATATACATGTATACTTATGTATGCATCTGTCTGAACTGCTGCTTGTTCTTCTAGAAAGTCTGACTTCTGAGGTGATGTTTGAATTAGGTTTTGAAGAAGAATAGAAGTTTGATAAGTGAATTCTGTGGAATGACTATTCTGAGGAGAGGAAAGAGCAAAAGTTTAGGCAGAAAAGTGTGGTGGGGCTTGGGAACAGTGTGTCCCTGGGGTATGTGTTGGGGAAGGAGAGAGGTGAGGCTACAAAGGAAGGTTGGAGCTTGAGAAGTCAGGCTTTAAGTGCCAAGTGAGGCGGGTCCTGCTCTGGGTTCTGAAGTCACTCTGGGCTCCTATTTTCAGAAGTGCCTGCTGTTCTCCAAGCAGTTCATGCACCAGGGCAATGTGGCTGAGACTACCCGGTAAGTGCAGGGCTGGGGCTGGGGTTTGTGAGATGGGGAGCAGAAAACAAGTCCTGCCATGCTGACGTGTGTACGCATCCCTGTCAGGTTTGAGAAACTTGCTCAGGACCGCAAGAAACAGCTTGAGATCCTACAGCTGGCCCAGGCCCAGGGCCTCGACCCTCCCAGCCACCACTTTGAGTTGAAGACATTCCAGACTGTGAGGTGCCAAAGCTGAAGGGAAACAGTGGCTCTATGCAGGGATGGGGCAAGGATCTGGGAGTTGAGGCTGGAGGCTTCTGTCCCTTTAGTGAGACTTCCCAGGCTTGGCCCTGCTGTAGGCACTGGGGCCAGTGAAGAGTAGGACACGGCACCTGCTGGTGAGGAGCCCAGAGCTATGTGGTTGCTGTGGGAAGAGCTCTGGACCAGGAGTCAGAGACCAAGGTCTGCATACGAGCTATGCCGCTTTTAGCTGAGACAAGATTTTCCTCCCTGGGCCCTCTCTCCTGGTCAGCGCTCAGCTGGGCAGGCAGGCAGGCACTGGAAGAGAGGACCTTGTTCCACTACTGTCCTCCATTTTGAGTTCTTCTGCTTTCTCCTTGGCTATAGGATCTTCTCAGAACTCAACAGCACAGAAATGCATCTGATCATTGTCCGGGGAATGAACCTGCCAGCCCCTCCAGGTAACCCTAGGGCCACCCCTACACAAGGAGGCTCTTGCCCAGACACTCTACTCCAAGCACTGGGCTCCTGTCCACTCTAACTCGACTCCCTTTTCTCCCTCACAGGGGTGACCCCCGATGACTTGGATGCTTTTGTGCGGTTTGAATTTCACTACCCTAACTCGGTGAGGTTCAGGTAGAGGTAGGATCCTCTGAACCCCATCTTTAGTTTCAGGATCTTGTGCTCAATTTCTCCCCATCGCTGGGAGGACTGGCTATAGGGAGAGGTTTGAAGGCCCTCAGACCCATTTTCTACAGGGGTCCCTTTCCTCAACAGTGACTTAGGCCAGAGTTCCTGGACCTATGTATCTCTGTTTTTATAAGCTGTCCTGACTTCTCTCCCTTCTCACTGCTTTAGGACCAGGCTCAAAAAAGCAAAACAGCTGTGGTGAAGAACACAAACTCTCCAGGTGAGGACCACATGAGGGCCCCGTTCTCCTCCGTATCACTCTGTTTATGTGGGCAGGACTTGTGTTTCCAAAGTGCTGTCAGGTATATTATCTTACTTGGTCCACTCAACTTGGGAGATAGAGGCAGGTACTATTAACACTTCTAATATATAGTTGGGGAAACTGAGGCTTAGAGATGTAAAAGGACTTACCTAGGGGCTTATAGTGAAGAGGTGGTAGAAATGGGACTTGAACCCAAGAATCCTTACTCCAAATTCCAAGTCCTTCCCACTTGGTTATAAACTGTGTGTAACAAGAGTACAAATGCACTCTGCTTCCAAGGCCAGGCCTTAGATGCTCTCTTCTCCTCTGGTGGCAGTCACCCTGAATTGCAGGCAGAGAAATTGAGAGGGGAAGTGAGCCCAGGGCCTCCATTTCCACTTCCACAGGAAGTCCCTGGAAGCCAAGCACTTCCTTGCCTTCTCTGCCTCTTACAGAATTTGATCAACTCTTCAAACTAAACATCAACCGAAATCACCGGGGCTTCAGAAGGGTGATTCAAAGCAAAGGAATCAAGTTTGAAATCTTCCACAAAGGGTAAGGCTCCTGTCAGTCACAATGCCAATGTGGCCTGGGAGAAAGGAATAGCATTTCTGTCACTGCGGCTGCCCCTGCTACTACTCAGGTTTCCTGCACTGGGTTCAGCCAGTTCATTCCTGCCTTCCCTGCCCAGTCCAGTCCTCTGCTGCCTCCTGTCTCCCCAGATCCTTCTTCAGAAGTGACAAGCTTGTTGGCACAGCACACCTGAAACTGGAGCGGCTGGAGAATGAGTGTGAGATCAGAGAGATTGTGGAGGTAGGGCCCAAGGGGTGGGCAAGGCAGAAGACTTGGTAAGAGAAGTGCCAATATTCACTGAATCCCAGTCTCTATTGTAGGTTTTTGTGTCCATTACTTAATTTAAAGTTGTCCATAGTGTGCTGTAGATAGAGCAGGTGGTATCCCCATTTCACAGAAGAAGAGGTTCAGAAGGTTTGAGAAAATTTCATAGTAGCTATATTCTTTTCATAACACTCTGGGCCACTAAAAAGTTCCCAAGGGTGATGGATGAGACAAGACCTTTGAGGGGTCTGATCACTTCTCAGCTTGGCACACAGATGCCTAGGTTTCTGGGGGCGGGGTTATGGTTAGGACAGTTGTCTGACAGCATGATGAAATGGAACAAGCTTCAGACCTAAAATTGATGAGGTATTTCAGAATCAGTGACCCACCAGAATACAGCTAGTTTGTGCTCAGGAATCGGCCCCCAGATAGCTCCTTAAGCTTCCATGAACTCATAGGATTGCACAGGCAGGGACTCTTAAGAGCTTAACTCTGACAGATGAGGAAACTTAGGCCAGAGAGGAAAGGGAGGTTAGTAATTCATACAGTGAATCTCTGGCAAAGCTAGGACCAGGCCCTTACCGATGCCGTTGTAGGCTGGAGCTTTCCCCACTACAGCCTACCCGCTGCCCGCCTGCAGGAGTTGTTCTTAACTGGGGTGCAGTCTGTCTTGGCCCCATGGAGAATGGTCAGACTTCTTGGGCCTGTTGCTCTGCTTTGCACCTGTCCAGGAGGAGGGTTAGGTAATATGGTGGGTGGGAAGGAACACTTGGTCTGGGTTCTAGTCTTGATTCTCCACACACAGTCATCCACCTCTCTCCGGGCCATCTGTGAAGAGAGGGTTTGGGCTCAGTGACTTTCAGGCTGCTCCTTCTTCTAGGAGCTGCCATGGAGATTGAGGGTAAAACTGAGTGGGCAGAACTCTAGGTTTTTCATCTCTACTTCAGTCAGAGCACTGATGCTTACCTAGATTTATATATCACTTTTTGTAAGACTTACCTAAGACAACCACCACTGCCCCAAAGCAGCAGGAAGGCAGGGTTGTCATGAATGGAGACTTCTGTGTTCATACCAGCCTTAGCTCCTCTCACTCCTTTCCTGGAAGTACAGGGCCTGCCTGCTCTCAGCTTCTGTCCCCTCAGTTACCATCTCTTTCTCTGTTGGCCCTCACAGGTGCTGGACGGCAGGAAGCCAACTGGGGGGAAGCTGGAGGTGAAGGTGAGACTGCGGGAGCCTCTGAGCGGCCAGGACGTGCAGATGGTCACCGAGAACTGGCTGGTCCTTGAGCCCAGGGGCCTGTGAGGTGGGCAGCTCTCTGGGCCCTCAGAACCTCTGCCCCCTGCTCTCAGTCAGGGCCTCACAGAGACTCTTCTCTTATTCAACTCCTATCTGGGGAGAAAGACTAGGAGTTTCTCATCTGATGAATACCAAGAGGCAAAACTGTTGGATAGAGTTCATGGGCTATTTCTTATGTTCCTCAACAGAACTGGGGAGGGATGGTAACTAACTATCTTCAGGAAACTCTTTCTAAAACCTATTTGCTCTCACGGCAGTTTAGACTCACTCCCTGTGCTTTGTGCCTCTGTGCAGCAAATGGTCAGCACTGGGAGAGGAGTGATGCCAGCAACTGTGTGCAGGAGCTTACTTTTCCCAGCTTTGATGGCTACAAAAGCCTTTGTACATAAGACAGATGCTGCTACATGAGCACCAAAGACCTATACATGTACTACTGACCACAACCCTGGTCTTTCCTGTTGCTGGCTCCTCTTGGCCTCCATAGAAGCAGGCTGGATTCTAGGAGCCCTTCTCCCTACTGCTTCCAACTCCCCCAACCTCCCCACCCCCCAGTCTGAGTGAAGACAAGGATACCCTCATTGCTCTGTGCCATGAAGTCCTGTAGCTCCTTAACCCCAGCCTACAACTGTGTGCAGCTTACCCCAGCCCCCAGTTGCACCATTTCTGGATGTGCCTTTAAAAGATTTAACTGTAGGGGATGGGAGAACTTGAGGGTGATCGTGAACCTCCCCTGCTTAGGGTGGGGGAAGGGTTCCATGACTCCAGTGGGTGACAGCCTGTCCCAGACAATTCCGTTTATCCCAGCTCTGCCTGTGCCTTGATTCCTGACAGCTGCTGCACTAGCCTTCCTGCTTCCCAACATACTTAGTGGAAGAGGAAAGTTATTTTTGGTACTACTTGGTGGGAAGTTAGGGGAAGGGTATATCTTGGGTTTGGTCCATGCACCTAAGATAAAAGACTGTTAACTGGGGAAAGGGAAAAAAAAAAAAAAAAAAAAAAAAATATATATATATATATATATATATAAAATTTTATGTAGCCATTTTTATTATTTAAGAAACTAGGTTTAATTCATTGTAGCAGTTTTATACTCTGCACACAGAGTGACCATCGAGGTCCTAAACAAAAGCCCTGCTCCCTGTCACTTTTTAAGCCAGAGTAGCAATAACATTTGTTACTGACAGAAACTGCCACTATGGCTTCCTCTTTTGAGTGAGGGCAAGGCAAGCCTCTCTTCTTCAGCTGATCACCTGGAGCTATCCCTCAGTTCTTTCCCAAGAATTCTCCTTTGACTTTGTTTTTCTGAATGGATGGAGACAATGAAGGGATTTGTAGTTGTAATAGATTTAATATTCAAAAACTGCAATATTCTACATTTCTTAGAAATAAACACATCTTTTTTTCCCTTATTTGAAGCAATAACCTAAGATCAACAAAGCATTCCTCAAGATCATTTAAAAGGCTATAAGTGAAGCACATAATTTCAGCTTACTGATCACTATAGTACTGCATAAGCACAGCTCAGGGTTTGGGCTTTGTGTATCTTTTTCAAGGATAATAGGGCTGGACCGTGCCTCCCTGCTATTAAGAGCAGAGCTTTTAGTGGGTAATAGAGCAGGAACTACAAACAACTGACTTTTTTTGAAGAGCTCTCTGGCCAGTCTTACTTACCTATCATAAGTGAGCTACCCTAACTTCCACAGATGTGAGATTTAACACTTAATTTCAGTCACATGTATTTGTCAAACAAGCAGTGGTCTAGAATGAAAAGGAAGGTTGTTAGCCTTCATAAGATGGCCTAGAGCAAAGAGGAGTTCCTGACCCAAAGTAGTCTTCCCCTTGGGGTGTGCATTCAACCCAGTGCTTAGTAAGAGGGTTAAGGACCCCCGTGGCTATCCTCCAAGGTTCCAACCAGCCCTAGGAATTCCTAAATTCCAGCCTCTACTGGAAACTTCAACAGGAAGTTTCCTATGGCTCCAAAGATTTTCCTTTACAATCCATCCCATTTCAGTCTGCTTCATTGCTATTTGCTTTTTGAAAAACAGACCCTCCAAGCTGAGGGAGGCAAGACAAAGCCACCCACTGGACTTGGAGACTGAAGTTCTTAAAAGGTCTTTGTTGTAGCTAAGGCATGTGTGGGTCACTGGCAGGGGGAGGAGCCTGCCCCAGCCTCATTTTGTCCTAAGATTTGTTCAAATACAGTAACCAAACATTGGAGATTAGTGACTCATGAGAAGGTGGGAACCAGTCATGACCCAAATCATTTTTAAATTTTAAATTCTTTGATTTAGTGCAGTGCAGACATTCTTCTAAATTAATTAATTAAATGGCTGCTGAATAAAATATGGAAGAACTTTATCTTAGAATCAGGAATTCTTGCTCACAATTAAAAGATTCTTTTGTGACTTTATTATTTTTCCTTTCTCGTAGCACCATTCCGAACCCTGCATTGTTGCTTCCAAATTTTGAGGACTTGTTTTCCAAATAAGTAAGGGCAGCTGCTTACTGTTAGGATGAAACCATGGGGCTGAGACTGGTAGGTCCAGGGGGCTTGCACCTGGTCCACCTCCATCACAGAAGGATTTTTTCTTTGGGCTTCAGCTGCCCAGGCTCTAAAATGGGTATCATTATTTCTGCTCTACTCCTTTGCCCTTCTGGCTATGTGTACAATCCCTAAAAATCCATTACTATTATTAAGGTTATAATTTTAGCATTATTATTAAAATAAAAAACCAACATCACAAACTTATTAATTCCAGAAACAGTGTTCAGCAGATAGCTTGTTTTGTGAAATGCATACATTATTCCCACATGGCCACTTATGACAGAGGTAAATTTAATTGGAAACTTTGGGCCCACCAGTATTCAGGAGACACTGTGGATGGGGGAAAACAGGATATGGGAACCTACACAGGCAAAAATCCCATAGCCCTAGAGTCCAGTAGGTCCTCAGAAAGTGATGATAAAAATAAATGGAGAGTGAGGGCCGGCCCGGTGGCGCACTGGATAAGTGCACCGCTTGGGAAGCGCGGCGGCGCTCCCGCCCGAGGGTTCGGATCCCACATACAGACCGGTTCCCGCTCACTGGCTGAGCGAGGCGCGAGGGCAACGCTGAGGGTTGCAATCCCGTTGCCGGTCCCTGGTCCGGTACGGGGGCAACACTGAGGGTTGCGATCCGTTGCCGGACACGGAAAAAGACAAAAAGACAAAAAAAAAAATAAAATACAATAAAATAAATGGAGAGTGAGCCCCGTGGCTCACTCGGGAGAGTGCGGTGCTGGGAGCGCCGAGGCCACGGGTTCGGATCCTATTTAGGGATGGCCGGTGTGCTCACTGGCTGAGCGTGGTGCAGACAACACCAAGCCAAGGGTTGAGATCCCCTTACCAGTCAAAAAAAACAAAAAAAAATGGAGAAATTACATTGCTTAGAATTCGGTAAGTATTCAATAATTTTTTATTTATTTTTATTTTTTTCCCCTTTTTGTCTTTTTTCGTGACCGGTAACGGGATCGCAACCCTCGGTGTCGTGCCCGTACCGCGACCGGCAACAGGATTGCAACCCTTGGTGTCGCGCCTGCACCACGCTCAACCAGTGAGTGGACCGGTCTCTATATGGGATCCGAACCCTCGGTGGGAGCGCCGCACTCTACCAAGTGCGCCACTGGGCCGGCCCTCAATAATTTTTTAAGTTGTAATAAATTACCAGAATGGTGATACTATTCCACTTTGGTTTGGAAAGATCTCTATATCTCAGTCTTTTTTAAGTTTACATCCTAGAAAAATTTGCCTAGTTAGAAATATGATGTTTCAGCCCTTCACTTTATATAATTCTTACAATATATATTGTATAAAAGTACAGATAAACAAGGAAAGAAACTAGCCGTGGCTGTTCTATGCCCAATTCCACAAGATGATTTTACTAAACATAAAAGATATTTTATGCAATTGAAAATGGACCTGACTATACAAGGTCAAAGTTTGTCCTTAGTGGGAGAATTACCAAGCTTGCATGATCCAGAATAATACATACAATAGCAAGATGTATATGGCTGAGTAGGAAGATAAACCATAGGAAAACAGGACCAGTCCTTGTAGAAGCTCCAAACTTCTGAAGTATATTTAGACTAAGCTAGATATTTCACTAAAAATACCTGCCCCTCTTAACAAGTGCTTCCTGTTACTGTCAAGTGTGTGGGGTGGCAGTCCCAGGGCCCAGTCCTTATAAACTAGTGCTCTAAGTCCTTACAAGCTGGTTGAGCTAAGGGGCACTTACCTTTTTTTTTTCCCCCTTAGAAGCTCTGAGTACCTCTGAGTGTATGGGAAAGGTCACAAATCACAGTCCTCTGCAGCCACCATTCAGCAAAGGCTTTGGAGAGGAAGATGTGGAATGTAGCTCCCCATCCTACAGAAAGAGGGATGAACCTAGCTAGACACACGTTCCAGGCCAGGCCTTCGGGCCTCTGGAAAACGGCTGCTGCCCCAAACAACTCCACAGCCTGTTACTGCCGAGTGCTAAGCCCAGCTCTAACCAGTGGGGAGTGGCCTCTCACTGTCCCAGAGGCTGCACTAGTTCTGTACTTTTACTGCAGTGGTATTAACTTCCACTCAGCCTGGGCTTTCAAAAGATGCAAGTGACAGTGTAGTGAGCTGCCCTGGAGCAGTATTTTTCAAACTGGGTTGTGGAATCCATTTGGTCTGTGACCAAAATAAAATTTTTAACAGAAGAGAAAATGATCAGAGTGCATTATAGGTACCATGGGTAAACCAGATCTTGGTTTCTGATAGCACTCCCATTAAAGAAACCAGGACTCCTTGGAGAAATGGCTGACTCTAGGACTGGGGCAGGGTAAGCACAAGGTGAGACTAGAAACAGCATGTTAGGCTATCAAAGGAAGTGTTCAAAATAGTAGTAGCACGTCACAAGGACGTAGGAGTCAGTTTGAAGGGGCTCCATCTGGCCAAAGCTGAGACAATTTGTGCACCAAAATAATGAATTAGAACCACTAAGAAAAAACCAAGAACAAACCATGAGTCCATAATGAAAATGAATTAAATGAATAAATAGAGAGGAAGGAAGGGCTTTTGCTTATAGTAAATTACCAAGTGCTCCTGGTAAAGATGGAGGGTGTGCTACAATTGGAAAATCATCTTACAGCCATCTTAGTAAAAGATCAGTGCAGGTAAGGAACATCAGTGGATGCTAAATCTAAGGGGACATTTTGATGAGCAAGATATTTATTTACATGGTCTGAAATGTCTCTACATATATTGGTTATTAGTTCCAAGGGGGAAAAATACACGGTGGAGAAACTGGACAACAGGTGATCAAAATTTACCACCATAAATGAGGGGTGCGTGGATATCAAGTGATTCTGGTCAAGAATGCATAAACTGATTCTAATTATTAAGAAACAAACTCAAAAATGAGGTATTTTCTGATTATAAACAGGATTGGGGGGTGGGGGTGGTATAACCACCGAAAATATCAATGACATAAAAGATAAAGGCAAGTCAGAACAGTTACATGCCATGTCTGACCCTAGGCTAGAAGGTTTACCAGAGAGGAAAAATGCTAGAGAGAACATTGGGCAGATGCTAGTATAAAGTATCACATCAATGCTAATTTGACTGATGTTGAGAACTGTCCTGCAGTTATATAAGAGAATGTCCTTGTTTTTAGGAAATAACCATTAAAATATTTAGGGATAAAGGGCTATGACGTATGCAACATAGCCTTCTCAAATGCCTCAGTTTTTTTGAAAGAGAAAGGGAAAGAGAAACAATGATAAATGGGGCAAAATGTTACATGAGAACAATAAGTGAACCTGGGTAAACTGGGTGAAGTGTACCTAGTGTTTACTCGCAACTTTCCGGGAAATTTAGATGATTTCTCAATAAAATGTTTTTTTAAATCCCTGTAGTATATTGTAACTAAAAATGTCTTAGGTGTATTCTGTTGGCTTTCACACAAAGGCCCAGTTTAGTACCTGCCATTCACTCAGGCAGATCTCAAGTGATCCTGAATCAGCTGTGCTATCCAAATGAGCTCATTTACACTGATATTATTATTTATATTACCCTTCATGGCTAGGAGAGTAGATTAAATCTTTGGGTCTTTGATTCACTTCAACAAATAATCTGGTAAAAACAAAAATCTAAGTGTGACTTCTGCTTAAACAGCTATGATGTAACTGGGACAAGACCACTGTGGAATTCTTTTTATACCAATTCTGTACAAAAAGTACAAGACTGATGCTTCATTTTTTATTTCCCTTCTGCCCTCCCACCCCACCCTTGGTGATGGTTGTACCCATCTGAGCATTTCTGAGCACATGACCATAAGTATATCTTAAGAGAGGAACAGAATTCTTGTCTAAAGAGAAGGGAATTAGCTGCAAGGATAGCATAACTGTTGTGCAGTAACAGAAGCTGCCCAGATCTTCTTGGTGGACAATGCATAGAAGACTTAGAATTATAGAACATCTGTCCCCCCAACCGCCCACCTTCCCACCCCTGTTCCTCATACCCCCATTCCCACCCTAGTCACCCCCCTCCCCCCACTGATAGTGTTAACAAAAGCTTAATCTTCCAGTTTTAAAGTGCAAATGATTTGGGTATGAGTGCTGTTGCAACAGGTCTGAACAACAACAACAAAAAAGTCTTCTGTCTATGCGATGTTTTCCAGAATATAAAAGATGAGTTCCATGACGACAGGGCCCTCACTGAGCTGGCAGGCCCCTCCATGGATCACCGGTACCAAAGCGCTGTCCAGGTCGTTCATGTACTGTGAGGGAAGGGGCTGGCCATTGCTCCCTGCTTGATAGCCAACCTACACCACAGACAGAAAGGGATGACAGGTGGTTACTGCACAAAAATCTCTCCAGAGGGCTGAGGGTGAAGGAAGCTGAGCAGGAAAGGAGATGTCCTTCTTGGCCATAGGCTAGACACGTGGCAGTGGATACAAATTTCTCCTCTTCCCTGAACTGTCATGTATTCATCCTGACCACTTGATAGCTGTCAAACCTTGGGCAAGTCACTTAACCTGTTAAGGTCTTAGTTTTCTGGGAAAGGGGAGGTGAACAGAGAGGTACGGACTGTCAGAAATAATGCCCTAACCTTTGGTTGTGAAAATTAAAGTGAGACGTACACAATGTACATTCATTAACATAGCAGTAACTGAGTATTTGTTCTTCCACCCATCCATTCATCCATACACCATTTTCTGAGCACCTACACACACAGGGATTCAAAGATGAACATAACAGGCGCCCTGTCCTCGAGGCATTTAGCAGAACATTAAGCCCTCCCACATTTAGCAGAACAAAGCTTGCTTATTCTTTAGTTGATTTATGTGAGGTAAGTCTCTCTCTCCAGCCAGGTTATCAGTACCATTCGTGAAAGGACCATGGTACTTCATTTGTATTATCCTGATATGCTTAGTACAGGATTGGGCAAGACCTTAAATAGAAAATAAATACTCGTTGATTGATGACTAGTCAGGAAACAGAGCCAGACACATAATTTTGCATTATTCCCTGATAATGGCACAACTGTGCTCAGGAACCAGTTTCTCCCCATAAGCACGCAGGCCAGGAGCAACTTGTTGGGCAGAATTAATACTCAGCTAGGAGGGGTGATCAAGCTGAGTACACACCATTTTCTAAATGACTCAAAGCTAAAGTGTTGAGGGAAAAGTCTGGCAATTTGTGAGCACCAAAGCAGGACCACTGAGACATGTCATAAGCATCCAAAGTCCAAAAGAGATGTAGAGAGATTAGAGTGCTAGCCACAAGAGAGAGACACTGGAAAATTGATGGGGAAATAACTCAAGTCCTATTCACTAACTAGCATGAAAATGGTAACAGTAAGAAAAACTTTACTAAGGCGTGGGCATCTGCAAAGGCCAGTCAGCAGAAGCCTGCTCTAGTTGTATTAAGAAAACAACAGGATAACGGACAGCTTGGGACATTCCCTCTAAGGGAATGCAGAATGATTCCTGATGGGTGGGGCTGGGGAGTCTCAAAGGGTAGTGGAGATGCCAGTCGCAGGGGTGGCAGATCTTCTTTACATGCACTCCCCTCCTTATCCCACACTCTCCTCCTTCAGCTCCTTGGAAGACATGCAGGTGAAGAAGGAACAGTTCAAATGGTTCTGACAGAGTCTGACCAAGTGGCACATCTGGGTATATTACCACTAGAGGCGAGGCCAGAGGTCAGGAGAATTAAGCTCTCTGGGTGGAAGCAGGAAAACTCACATGTCAGAGAATAGATACTGCCCAAGGCCACCTTTGAAAGCTGCCTAAGACCCCTCTTACCTGGTCTGAGTCGAGTGTCACACGTAGTCCCAGTTTAGTCATTCCATCTTCCTTCAGAAGCTTCAGGTGGGGACAGAGAGCAAGGCAAAAAGCCTTGGCAACATTCTCAGCCAATCTGCTATGATCTGCAGGATCACCTAGGCAATTGTGCTGGTCATCGTTTTCTAGGAAAAACACCTGTTCCCCAAAGAAAATAAACTTTTAACTTTGTGCCTAGATTTTAGAGGAAACAAGTGGATCTCCAAGATGTGCAAGAAGACCTGACAGAAACGGAATAGTCCTTGGGCCAGGAAAAGTAGAGCACTGATGTCTTATACCCAAGAAACAATCCCTGCTTCTCAGTCTCTGCATCCACCAGATAGTAGTAGCAGCCTGCCCTATCTCCCTGCAAGCCTCTGCCATGGTCCTAATGGCACATTCTCCTCAGAACGAGAAGGCCTTTTTTATGTTGTGTTTCTAAAAAGTAATCCCTACATGTGAACAGTTTCCTTAGGAAATGATCTTAGAGTCTAAGAGAACATTCTTATAGATTATGAGACCCAGCCCCTTCACTTTATAGATTCCTCATAGAAGAGAAGTGTCTCACTCAAGTGCATAAAAGTACTTAGAGACACAGGCCAAACCTAGAATCCAAGTCTTCTGCCTCTTATTGCAGAGCTTGTCCCATCATGTGGCCCTGCCACTGTGAAGGCCAGAGCTGTGTCGGTGTACTTGCACAGAGCTGAGCACTGCACACAGGAAGAAGCACAGCAAACTTGGAACTAGGACCCGAGTCCTAGTCCACATAGAGGATGGGTCATGAGCAAGTCCTTTAGTCAAAGGACTACTTAATGCCTAATTTGCCTCTGTAAAATGGAAAGCACCTGCCCTCTCTGGTTATTGTAAAAAGTAAAAAAGGCAGAAAAAAGATTAAAAAAATGCAAATACACAATGTTTATATATACCAGCCCTAACTTGCTGCTCAGTAAGGGGCTTATACTAAGAATACTACAGAGGGAGCAGCTCTGAAGCCTTGAGCCTGGGTGCACTGGTGAGAGTGGCAGTAAGAAATGATGGAAAGGGCTTCAAGTGGGAGTCAAGAGACCTGCACTCTGGCCCCTGCTCTGCCAGTAACCGGCATTAGAAACTAAGTTACAAAGTCACACAGCCTCTCTGGGGCCTGTTTTCTCATTTGCATAATAGGATGGGTAGCCTGCCTACCTCACTGAGTTATTGGGGAGCAAAAGGAAGAGACAGAGATCAAACTACTTAATAAGGTATAAAGAGTTTTACATGTTCCAGACTCTGCACTGCTCAAAATGTGTCAAACGGACAATCATTACAAAGCAAGCAAATAAAATTACTTAGCTGCGTATGGAAATACGGAGCTTGGTATCTAGTATGAGTCACTTGGAACAACAGCCCAAGAACTGGAGAATCAGATTCTAGTCTCTGTGCTATCAAGAACTAGCTATGTTAGCTTGGGTAATACACTTAACCTCTCTTGGTCTTGGTTTCTTGTAAAATGTAAAATGGAAAAGCTAGAAGACACAGAATTTTAGAAAAAATTAAGACTAGTAACTGAAAAAAATACTAGAGATCTTAAAATTAGATCTATACAGGTTCAAAAACAATTAAAAATGAGGTTCGAAAACAATTAAGAGACCTAGGATCTACCTGTTTACTCTTTGAGAATAAACTTTCTGATCTGTATAATATGAACACAAACAGGGTCCCTTGCCCTACTCCTCTCATTCCTAGGTTAGCCTCTACTAATGTTTTCAAGTTAAAGAGCAATGTGATATAGTGTGGAAAAGAGCTTAGGAGTTGGCTAGATCTAAGTCTGAATCAGGATTCTTTTTTTTTTTTTTTTAATTTCCTTTTTGTCTTTTTTCGTGACCGGCAATGGATCGCAACCCTCAGTGTCGCACCCGTACCGGACCGGGACCGGCAACGGGATCGCAACCCTCGGTGTTGCGCCCGCACCTCGCTCAGCCAGTGAGCGGCCGGTCTGTATGTGGGATCCGAACCCTCGGCAGGAGCGCCGCCACGCTCCCAAGCGGCGCACTGTAGCAGTGCGCCACCGGGCTGGCCCTGAATCAGGATTCTGCCATCACTTATTTACCTTATAATCTTGGATAAGTTACTTAGTTTCTGAGCTTTAGTTTTCTTACTGGTGAAATAAGCCTATTTTCATGAGATTGTTATCTGAAATAATTTTAATTGTTAACTGCAGCATAACCAGCCCAGCTTTCTGAAGAATAAAGCAATGATGGTATATATCATTCAGAGATGCACCCTTCTTGAATTCCAATACATATAAATCTCTAAAAGCTATTTCACAGGAACGAGGATACATCAGATTGCTGCAGGCTGCACTTGGTGGCATTTCTTCTCAGTGATCTAAAATAGATCAGAGGGAATTGGAGTATAAAACAGGTTTGATCACTGTATTAGCCAGCCATCAAAATAGTAAATAAATAGAAATGGTGAACAGATTTTTTTCTTATCCTCCAGACACAGCCCAGAATGTGGCTCTCAGCCTAGCAAAAAGTTGTGCTCAAAGCGGGTTAAGGATCCTGAATTTCATTTCCTTACCTCTGTCCATCTGATGACTTTTCCATTTGCTTTATACTCTGATCCATGAAATATCTTCACATTTGTTATAGACTCCATGGACTTCCCATCTATAGGACTTATGACACTAAAATAAAGGCAAAGGAAAGAAACAGAAGTGGCTCTTGAAGTTAGAGGATCCATTTCTTTTTCTTTTTTTTTTTTTTTTTGTCTTTTTTTCGTGTCCGGCAACGGATCACAACCCTCAGTGTCGCGCCCGTACCGGACCGGGACCGGCAACGGGATTGCAACCCTCGGTGTTGCACCCGCACCTCGCTCAGCCAGTGAGCAGGAACCGGTCTGTATGTGGGATCCGAACCCTCAGCGGGAGCGCCACCGCGCTCCCAAGCGGCGCACTGTAGCAGTGCGCCACCGGGCTGGCCCCAGAGGATCCATTTCTCTTATCAAGTCTTGATGCAGAAGTTTTGCTACTAATTACATTGGGTGCTTTTGCTGAATACATCTGTGTAGCACATCATAGCAGGAAGCCATTGTACAAAGAGGTACCTGAGTAGGACTCTCATGGAAAGGGCCTATGCACTGAAATAATTCAAACAACACACATACAAAAAGGAGCCATATCTCCAGGAGCAGGTTCTCTTTAACGTAGCATCCATTCTTTCAGTGAATACATGGCGACCCCCCCAATCTTGTTGTCCAAGACTCTGAAATAACACTCTGAAATAACTCTGCTCCTGACTCTGAAATAACACTCATCATGTTATACTCTTCATGTTTGCATATCTGCCTTACAAATGATCTCCAGAAGGATAGGGAATATGATACATTTACCTCTGTGTGCTATATTCCCAGTACTGACTCGCTGCTTGGAACTAAAGATTATATTTAATATAATAAATGTTCATTAAGAGTTATTTGACCAAGTGTGTTAATTATGACAATGCTGGTGTGAACTGATTGATGAACAAGTATCTATGTATCTATCATAACAAGTGCTAAACTATTACTCCTAGATTCCTGAAGAAAAAGTCTACTTTTGATATTCTTTTCCTCCCTAAAATACAGCAAGTATAAATATGTGAACATACACATTCATTCTGATCAGGATTCAAAATGATCGGCACAAAGATTCCAAACTCTTCCTAACCACTTTTAAACCTATTTATGTTCCTGAATCTCTATGTATAAAAAGTCAAATTTAACTTAAATTTCAGTATCAGACATTAACTTCATTCACTCAAATAAAAATTATTTAAACAATATAGACTTAATTTCTAACTCAGATAACAATGTCGAAAAAGGGGGCTTAGGCCATAATCCCAAAAGACACTAATCCTGAATGCTGAAATCCTGAAAGATTAAAATCTGTAAAGTCTAAAATCCCTAAAATCACATCCTGAAAGATTAAAATCCTGAATGTTGAAATTCTGAAAGCCAAATTTCAGAAAGAGCAATGCCACATAGAAAAGTATGAATTACTATAGGTAAAATGCATCCCCCAAAAGTTGATGTACTGGAAATTTGATCTCCATTGTAACAGTTAAGAGGGTGGGAAATCCAATTATGGTACTTGAAAGGTGGAACCTTGAGAGGTGATTGAATCATGAGGACTATGCCCTCGTGAATGGATTAATCTATTCATGAAGTAATGAGTTATCATGGGCATGGTTCTGATGGCTTTATAAAGAGAGTGAGTGACGTTAGCTCTCTTGCTCAGGCCATTCTTGCCATATGACACCCTGTGTTGCTGTAGAGTCACCCTGAAGAAGGCCCTCACCAGATGTGCCCCTGGTCCTTGGACTTCCAGCCTTCAAACCTGTGAGAAATTAGTTTAATTTCTTTATAAGTTACCCAGTTTCCAGTAGTCTATTATAAGCAACAGAAATGGACTAATACATTAATGTATTCTCCAAAAAGAGCTATGCCCTAAAAGGAAACAAACAAACAAATAAACAAACAAACAAACAAACAAAAACAGCTATTCATCATGATGCAAAACTTCAAAATATAATTAATGATTGTGAAAGGCAGCTGGCTATTATGGGTCACCTCTGCAATTGCCCATAATCTACTTCTTCATACATCAAATTTTTTTGTTTTCTTTTTTTAGTTTTTTTCCCCCACTATTTTAAGATTTCAGCATTATTTTTTACAATTCGCTGTGCTATGTATTTCATCTTTGCATCATTTCCAATACTGAAAGTATAAATTATGTAAAGATTTTTAGAGAGTTCTAATTAGTTTTAGGCATTTTTTGCAAATTTGACTCCACAGAAGTGCATTAGCACAATGTTGACTTTGTAAGCATTGTGCATGTATGCAAAAACATTGAAACAACTTCAATAAATGAAGAGATGTCCTTGTACGTCTGCATTTGTGAAAGATAAAATTTCTCAAGATCTTGGCTCCTTGGGCGACTGCATGTGTAGAGGAGACCTATTGAAGTTTTTTATCAATCTCATCAAAAGACTCAGGTCATCAATCATAGTATTTCCGATGACTGCAGTTGTAAAGGCAGGTGCACACAATTACCAACCATAGAGATAGGGATTTACACATTTCGTTTTTTGACCTATTTTTTCATGAATATGATTCATCTGCTCTTAACTGTTATCCAGCTGTCATTAGTATATGTTCATGCTTGCAAAAATATGTATGTTATTATTGTCTATTTTATTGTATAAAGTGGCCTATGAAATGTTCTGGTCATGTTTTTATTCCTATTTATTTATTTTTGGCAGCTGGCTGGGGGTTTTTTTCTGTTGTGTTTTTGTTTCTCAAATCCCCTTTTAAAAATGTACATAAATGAACAATCACAATAATTCACTGAATTTTCAAAAGGAGAGAACAGAACTGAGGCCACCGGTGGTGGTGGTGATGGTGGTGGGTGGATGGGTGGGGAAAGTTAGTGAGAAATTGATAAAGGGCTACAAAAGATGATTACATTGTATAATGGTGAATATACTACCCTGATTTGAGCATCACATATTGTACAAAGGTATTGATATTCAAAGCTGTACCCCACAGATACGTACAATCATGTTTCAATAAAAATAAAAAAATAAAGTAAACCAGCTTTACAAGATAAACTGGAGACAGTAAAAAAGAAAATTAAAAAAACAAAAATGTACATAAATGTCTTTTAACGAATGTTTAAATTATTTTTTCCAGAATTATATTTTCAGGATTTTGATCTTTTGGGATTGTGATTTTAAGGGATTTTAAACTTTAGGGATTTTTTTTTTTTTTTTTTTTAAATGACTGGTAAGGTGATCCTAACCCTTGACTTGATGTTGTCAGCACCACGCTCTCCCAAGTGAGCTAACTGGCCATCTCTATAAAGAGATCCAAACCCATGGCCTTGGTGTTATCAGCACTACACTCTCCCAAGTGAGCCACAGGCTGGCCCTAAAACTTTAGGGATTTTGATCTTTCAGAATTTCAACATTCAGGATTATGATGTTTGGAACTGTGTCTTTTGGGATGATGACTGGCACTGCAAAAAATGGCATCCTTAGTTGATTTGAATCCTTTGAGGGAAGATATCCTGACATTTGAGGACAAGCAGGGAGACATTCAATTCATACATTACAAAGTGGACTCCTGAGTTTGAAAGCCTTCCCTGGCTAGTCCTTGTCCCATTCTATAAGAAGCTGCCACCAGTAGCTGCTACAGGAAAGGGCAACCTGCTTACTGTCAGTTACTGATACTTTATGGCACCAGATTTTCAGATCCATTTTTTGTCCTAATAAGCATGTCCATTCCAACTATAATAAGAGAATTAAACATGAACTTATTTTGAAATTAAATTTTCCAATGAAGAATAGGAAGGTAAAGGGTTATTTGTAAAATAGGCAAAAACATTCATTGATTAAAAATTGCTTCTTTTTGTTCAAAAACAGAAGTCAAACAAAATTTTAAAAAAATCTGGTGTGCCATGTTCTAAGTGCCCTCTGTCTGCCTTTACTCCTCAGACTGGACTGCCTGCTCTGCTACAGCTACATGGCAAATACCTACTCATGTTACCAGATTCAGCTCAAGCATCAGCCATTTCTCTCTGAAGTCTTTCTTGAATACTGGCCTACAACTTCTATCAAGCTTCCTCTTATCATTTTAAAAAATCATTACTGTATCCTATATAGTTATCTACCTGTATCTTCCATACTTTGATGCACTTATTTATTTATAACTGCCTTCAAAACTAGACTGAACCAGTTGTCAGCGGGGACCATGTGGAATTCATCTTTGTATTTACAGAGTCCTGACATAACCTGGATGGATGGATGGATGAATGGATAAATGAATGAATGGAAGAAAGCTTAATACAATGAAGTATGGCATATTCATTCAATCAAACAATATTTTTAAGTATCTACTAGTTGCCAGATAGTGTTTTAGGTGCTGTTGATGCAGCAATAAATAAGCCAGACAAAAATCCCTGCCATCATGGGGCTTATATTACAGGGACAATATATTGTATATTATAGTAAAAATATATTGTATATTAGAGTATTGTATAATATATTGTATATTAAAGTAAAAATATATTGTATATTAGAGAGTTATAGTGCAACTGAGAAATAGAATGCAAGGAAAGGGGATAGGAGATATTGGGAGTGGGAGGGAGAAAAGTGTCTGAGAGGTTACAACTTAGAAAGGTTGACCAGGGATGTCCTTACTGAGATAGTGACATTTTGGAAAAGATTTGAACAGCAAGTGCAAAGTGTGGGGGCAGAAGTACAGTTGATGTGTTCAAGTAAGAAGGCCAGTGTTGCTTCTGAGAGGTAATAAGGTGGGAAGAGGGATGCACAGATAGTGTAGGTCCTTATAGGTCATAAATAACTTTGGAAGCCATTGGTAGGTTTTGAGCAGAGAGTTAACATTACTCTGGCTATTATATTGGAAACATACTGGGTTGGCAGAGGGAAGGTGTCCAACACTAGAAGACAAAGAAATCAATTAGGAGGCTACTGTAATAATCCAGACAAAATGATATAGTGGCTTTAATTAGGATGGCAGCAGTAGAAGTAGTGAGAAGTAGTACAATTCTGGATATACTCTGAAGTAGTGCAAACAGGATTTACTTGGATTAGGTGTGGGGTGTAAGAAAGAAAAATGTCAAAGAAGACTCTAAGGTTTTGGCTTGAACTATTAGAATAGAGTTGCCATACATTGGGAAAAAGTTTGGAATTTGAAGCCCAAGGAAGTAGTTTTCAGTCCTAGCCCTGTCACTTCCTAGCTTTGTGAACTCGACACTTCATTTAGCCTTTTGGTACTTGTTTACTCATCTGTGAAATGGGGATAACAATATCTGTCATTATATCAAATGAAACAATGTTAGCAAAAATGCTTTATAAATCATAAAAGACTTTGTAAATCATAAAAGGTATTACTATTATTTCAAAAACTTTAGAGGGACTGTTTTGTTTCATCAACCCCTCCCCTCTTTCTCCCCTCAAAAGAAATTGATTAAAATACCTCAAATTCTTCTCCTCCCCCCCAAAATATATATATAAACACACACACATGCGTAGAAACTCCTTAAGAAATTAAGCTAAGAAACCAGAAATTTAAAATTCTATGATATTCATTCAACACAGTCCTTTCTCTTAGGCAGAGCTTTCAGTAAAACTCTAAAACACCAGTGTAAACAATAGACAAAACCCAGAGCCCAGCCCATGAATAAACGCCACAAGAGGAGAAGTTCAGTGCGTTTACCCCTTGTTAACGTTCTTGTCGTCATCCACCCACTGGATGTGGATGTGCTCTTGGGGATCCTCTGCATCTGCCTTCCCACAGGTGATAGTGAAGTCCTTCATCTCTCTCAGCGCCTGCCTCAAGGAATCCATGTTTTCTGCAGTGATCTGGACCATAACGCCATCTAAGAATCAGCACCGAGACAGTACAGATGGAAACAATGCAAAGCCAGGAGGCGGGCAGATGAAACACAGTGCCTGGCATCTACATAGCAAATCTCTCTGAGTTAAATGTAAAACTTCGCTCTGCTCTCCAAAGCTGACAGATACAAAGAGGTTTTGCTCTATGAGCTGAACCTCTTACTGAAACAGTGCTGTGAGGAGCAAGTGCCAAAATAGGTTCTGCTTAAAACACTTGCCTATTGATTTCACTTCACACACAACTAAGAGTTTCTTCTCATACTGCTCAAAAGGAAAATTTACACATGGTCACATTCTTCTTCTGGGCTCACAGAACATTTAGCTCCTATTTCCACTCCCGCATTTATCTTGCTCAGATCATATTTATTTGTTTGCATCTCCATCTTTCTCATCTTACTGTGTTTGCCTGGCATGGAGTGAATGCCCTATAAACTCTTGTTAAATAAATTACTGAATAAAGTATACTAGTGGGCTTGGAGATAAATTCATTTATTGACTAGCAATAAGGCAAACCTATCACAGTTTCATATGGGCTATCATATAGCCAACAGACGATAACGATTTTTCCGTTGCTACATACCTGAGTCAAAGGCAAACACTGAAATTGAGGGTAAAAGCTGTCACATGCTGAGCAATTACTCTGTTTCACTGACACAATTTTGTCAGCTGAAATAATTTCTAAAGAGCCTCAATAAAAGTTTCATAAATAGGCAGCCAATTGCTCTACTAAAACACACAGAGAAATGCAAGACCCAAGGAATTCCCAACCCGGAGACACACAGCTTTTATACACATTGCTTTGCATTTATAAGGATCTGTATCCATCCAATCTATCATTTTAACAACATTTGAAGGGTGTTTTTAAAGACATGATTTCAACTATAGTCAGCATTTGATCATATAGGCATTGCCTTGGGTTGAATGTCCTCCCAAAACTTAATTCCCACTGTAAGTGCTGAGGGTGGGAAATCCTATTATGGTAATTGAAAGGTGGAGCCTTGAAAAGGTGATTGGATTGTAGGACCATGCTGTAGTGAATGGATTAAAAATGGTGGTCAGGGGTGTGGTTCTGAGGGCTTTAAAAAGACAGTGAATGAGGAGGTTGGGCTCTCACTCACTCTGCTCTGCCAGTTTTGCAATGTGATACCTGCCATCACTGTTGCGACCACTAAGACCTTCACCAGATGTGTTCCCTTTGGACTTTAGACTTCCCAGCTTCAGAAACTGTAAGCAATAAATTTCATTTTCTTATAAATCACCCAGTTCCAAGTAATTTTGTTATAAGCAACAGAAATGGACTAATACAGGCATTAATTAGTCACTTTAGACTAATTTGGAGATTTCTTTTAACAGCATTTTTCTGCTTTGTAGTCAGAGTTGTGAAATTTAGTTGTAAAATATTAATGCACTCTGTGCTTCACTCTCTGGTTTTTTGTTTTTGTTTTGGCAGCTGGCCTGTATGGGGATCCAAACCCTTGACCTTGGTGTTTGTTGTAACACTGCACTCTAACCAAGTGAGCTAATCAGCCAGCCCTCACTGTTTTATTAAATTTGTCAAAAAAGGAGACCAAAGCCAATATCTGTAGATATATGTAAGATTATCTATGTATTTCAATTAACACACTCGAATCCAGCCCTCAAAAAGGACTGCTTTTAGGGTCTTGGAGTGAGTTACTGTGGAAATGCTGACCTGTCATCTCATCACATATAGCAGACCATATTTTTCAAAGATGGCCATAATATCTCCTGTCTCACATGCTTTTCTACAGGGCCACCTTCCCATTCCACCAAAAAGAGGAGACTAATTCCTCTCCCTTCTTCCAACACCAGAGTAGGTGGAAGTGACACTGTGTGACTTTTGAGGCTGGGTCACAAAAGGCAATGCAGTTTCTGCCTTGTTGCTGGCACACTCATGCTTGGAGCTCTGAGCCATCATGTAAGAAGTCCAACTATCCCAAGGCTAACAGTCATGCTAAGGAGTACTCCAGTCAACACTCCTAGTCTTTAAATCATCCCAGGCCAGGCTCCAGACATGTGCATGAACAAACCTTCAGATAATTCTAGCTCCCAGCCATTAACCCCAGCCTTCAAATAATCTAACTGAGACCCCAAGCCATCCCTGCACTGCCCTGTCAAGATTCTTGACCTAGAGGAATCAGCAAGCATGATAAAATAGTTGTTCTAAGCATTAAGCTTTGGGGTAATTTGTTATGCAACAGGAGTAATCAGATCAAACTAGAGTGAAGAATAACCAACAAAGAAAATAAATAGTATGTGCCAATTAGCCTTTCATTTAATTTAATTAACTTTATTAGGATATGTGTCACATCTAATTATAGCAAACCAACAGCAAGCACATTCAATTCTGTACCCCAAATGATGGTTACATGATTCTTATAGCTAGGAGGGACTGAACTTTGTCTAAACATTTACATATTTGCACCTATTGATATATCTGAACTCAGACTGCATCCCCTCAGGTACCTTATCCCAGATTTCTGAAAGGCCATCTCTTAGTTTTTACGTCACTGTCTCATGGTATCTCTACTACTTACTCTCTTCTGTAGAGAACTAAGCCCTCTCATGGCAGTTTTAATTTGCTGAAGAGTGAGATGTTACTGAATAAATAATAGGAGTCAGACATCAACAGCAGAAGTGTCAAGGTTTCCCTTAATGTCCCTTGCTTTTTAATTGTATAATTAGAACTGAACTAAAGTATATGCAGTAAACAATTCATTCTTTACCTTCCACAATACTGGACTTAGCAAGGTATCCTGAAGAGGATTTCAGAGCACCACTGAACACAAAGAAACTGGCACCAGTCACTAAAATAGCAAAAGAGATAGTTCAGTGACAGCAGACCCTGAGATGGAGGGACTAGGAAAAATAATAAAGTATTTGTTAGTTAGAAATGCCAAACAACATCATACAGAATTTAAAAAACAGTGAATCTGTTTCCCGCATTATACAAGTAACTAATAATTCTGATGCTTATGATAGCTTTGGGAATGAGGTTTTAAAACACATTCCTCAATTTTGTTTTGTACTTCTTCCGATTAAGAATCAAAGAATCTTACAAGCCAAGAAATTGTAGTAGTAGCGTCCAGGGTTTGGCAAACTACAGCCCATTCGTAAATAAAATTTTACTGGAACACAGCCATATCCCTTCATTTATATGTTGTCTATGGCAATTTTGGCACTACAACTCTAGAGTTGAATAGTTGGTGACAAAGACCCCGCCTACAAAGCTTAAAATATCTGGCCCTCCACAAAACAAGTTTGCTGACTCCTGATCTAATCCATTGATTTCCAGAATTTTTTTAGATCAAATATATTTTGAAGATGAAGATACGTTTGCCAATTATTTTATCTGCCAAGTAATTATTTAAAGGAAAATAATCCCCACCTATTTAAAAGACAAACTCATATCACTACTCTCTCTTCATAAAAGAAAAAATATTTAATTACATTTATGAAAACTTCCACTATACTGTATACTGTATATACTGTATATTTTTCCATCTCTTAAACTGAACTAGGTTAATTCAACTTCCTACATATTGGCCCTACAATATCTCTAACAGGTGGTCATCCAGTCTTTGTCAAAGACTCCTAGTGACAGAGAGCCAACAACAGCACAAAACAACCCATTCAACTTCTGAATAACTCTCAAGGTTACAGGGTGTGCCCTCAAACTGAGCCAAAATCTGGCTCCAACTTTCACCCATTGGTGCTGGTTCTGGCCTTATTTCCACATAATAAAAAAACCTTAAAAATAGGGATAGCTAGTTATCATCCTCTTCCAATCAATACCTTTCCAGTTTAAACATTTATACTTTATTCAAGAAGTCTTCCTTTGACATAGGTCCCAGATTTCTCACAGGTCTTGAATCATCCTCTGGAGACCCTCTACTTTTATAAATATACATATATTAATGATATCCAGAACATGTCTGAATATTCTACATAGAATTGGACTAATAGAGAGCATTGTGGACTTATCATATACTTTACCTTGGATATCACATTTGAATATACTGTATTAAATGTCTTTTATGCCTTTACTGCATGTTCAACTGATTTAAAAAACATAATGAAGACAGTGACCTACTGTAAGTCACTACTTACCTACTGTAAGCCACTGTCTTCGTTATATTTTTTAAATCGGTTGTGCAGTAAAGGCACAAAAGGTATTTAGTACAGAATATTAGAGAAGTGTTTCACAAAACATACTGAAGAAAGCTAGTTTTGGGAGATACTCTGTGGGAAAAAAGATTCATGATCAAATAAATTTGAGATGAGCTAGACACTATCCTCTTTTTAAAAATCGGAATACACATCAGCTTAGTTAAAGGGTCTGAAAAGTCCTGTGGTAAAGAAATCTGTTAAAACTTAAGTCTGAGAAACCTTGTGTTATTAAGCAAAACTTCTTTTTACTTATTTATGTGAACATTTTTTAAAACCACAGAGCCTGAGAAAACACTTTGGGTAATGCCACCTTGAGCAATGGTTCTCAAACACTAATGTGCATTTGAATTACATTATTGAAATGTAAATTCTGATTAGCGGATCTGGGGTATAGATTCTTCATTTCTGACACTCTCCTAGGTGAGTGAGACCATGTTCTGAGTAGCACTGAACCTAGATCTTTTCCTCCAAAGTTCTGTCAACCTATTAATAGAGATTCTTTGGGTGTGGTCATCTAACAAGCTCCAAATCTACCCAAGCACACTTTCACTATGAGCGCCTAGTCTCACCTTCAAATATCAATGCTGGCCCTGCCAATATCAAAATGTTTCCCTCAAGCATAGTGATCCTATGTGCAACTCTGAGTCTAGCTACTTAGGGAGTCAACATAATCCTGGAGAATATACCTGGAAAGGTTGATTAATTAGTTTATGGTCACATATCTAGAAAGTGAGTGTTAGGAGACTGAGATATCCAACTCCCCAAATCCAGTATAATCTTCCATTAATCATAATCTCAACCAGCTCAAATGCTCACCTTTTCTGGGCTGATTGTGAATACTGATAGCCTGGGTCTGATAGTTTCCATCGTCATTCTGTACACACACAAGATGGGAATCTGCCTTTTCATTGAAGCAGGCACCTCCTGCCAGGACATGCTCATTGGATTTGTTCATGGCTTTCATCATCTGCAATCAAAGAAGAGGGTTAACCTTATTCTGAAAAGAATGAGCGTTTTTCTGTGCACCATCTCAAGGACAAAATTAACAGAATAATATTACTTATTAAGGTGACAAAGGGGCTACCAAATAATAAAAACAAAGTAAAAAATCATAGTCATCATTAGTAACAAAGTTAACATATACAAAAATTCCCTGTGCAATTTATAAGTGATTTGTACTACAACCTAAGAACATGACACATTTTCCACTCATTTTCTTTTTATTGCTAAACTGAACTCAAGTAACTAAAATTAGTTTAACAGTAGTTTCTCCTATCCACTGAATTCTCTGAGGATATATACCCTGAAATTCTAAGTCTGAAAGAATGTCTCATATTTAAGTGCATCTGCCTTCTTTTTGAACATCCAAAGGAGTGAGGCTTTCCTCAATGAAATATGAAATTGTTTCTCTATTTTACTAACTTATTTTTGAGATCTTCAATGAAAGACCTACTAATATTTTCCCATGTTATTATCAAAAGATATTTCTGAAACTAACTTGAAATAACTCACTATTTTGTGTCAAGTAAACAAATCTGAACTTACCTTGTTGTTAAACTCCAGCCTCTGACTGAAACAGGTCAATGATAATTTATTTGTCTGCTTTTATTTCCCATTTTTTCTCATGCCACCCACTTGTCCAACTTTCTGAACTTATCCTTTAAAATGTCTTTAATCCTTTAAAAATCTAATCTGAAACTTTTAATTTTGTTTTAGTCCCTTCGTCCTCATATTATAAACTGCAGTACCACAGTGTCCCATTCTTCCTCCAACCACCAATCTGCATTGTCTCTATCCATTTACCTATTCTGAATATTTTATATAAATGGAACTATACTATATGTAACCATTGTGTCTGGCTTCTGTCACTTGGCATAAAGTTTTGAAGGTTCATCCACATTGCAGCATATTACTGAATACTCCATTCCTTTTTATGGTTGAAAAATACTCCATTGTATGTATATAATACAATTTCTTCATCCATTCATGCATTGATTGCTATCTGGGCTGCTTCAACCTTTCAGCTATTGTTAATAGTGCTTCTGCGAACATCTGTATATGTGTACTTATTTGAGTACCTTGTTTTCAATTCTTTTGGGTATATACGTGGGGGTAGAATTGTATAGAAATGGTAATTCTATGTTTAACTTTTTGAGAAGCTGCCAAACTTTTTCATAGTGGCTGAAATATCTTACCAGCAATGTACAAGGACTCCAGTTTCTCCACATGCTCACCAACAATCGTTATTTTCCTTTTTTTTATAGTCATCCAGTGGGTACCAAGAGGTACCTCATTGTGGTATTTTCTTTTTTAATTTTAACATTTATCTGTACACATTTGTGAAGTACAGTGTATTGTTTTAACACATGCATATACTATACATTGATTAGGGTAGACAGCATAGCTTTGTACTCATTAATCCACCACTTCCCCTTTCTGACACCTCCCCTCCCCGCCCCTGGTAACCATTATTCTACTTTCTCCTTCTGTGAGAACCACTTTTTTTTACAAAAAAGTTTTTAAGATACTACATGTGGGGCCGAGCCCGTGGCGCACTCGGGAGAGTGCGGCGCTGGGAGCGCGGCGGTGCTCCTGCCGTGGGTTCGGATCCTATATAAGGATGACCAGTGCGCTCACAGAGCTCACTGGCTGAGCGTGGTGCGGTCGGTCTCAAAAGGGACAAAAAATAAAAAATAAAAGATACTACATGTGAGTGAGATCATGTGGTATTTGTGTTTCTATGCCTGGCTTACTTTACTTAACATGATGGTCTCCAGTTCTATTCATGTTGCTGCAAATAACTGTATTTCATTCGTTACAGCTGAATAGTATTCCACTGTGTATATATACTACAGTTTTTTAAACCCATTCATCCATTGATGGACATTTAGGTTGATTCCATCTCTTGGCTATTGTGAATTATGATGCAATGAACATGGGAGTGCAGGTGTCTCTTCAATATATTGATTTCATTCCCTTTGGATATATCCCCAGTAGTGGGATTGCTGGGTCATAAGGTAATACAATCAATTTTTAGTTCTCTGAGGAATCTCCATGCCCTTTTCCACAATGGCTGTACCAATTTACATTCCAACCAGCAATGTAGGAGAGCTCCCTTTTCTCTGTATCCTTACAAGCATTTGTTATTTTCTGACTTTTTGATAATAGCCACATTAACTAGAGTAAGATGGTATCTCATCATGTTTTTAATTTGCATTTCCCTGATGATTAATGATGTTGAGCATTTTTTCATGTTCCTGATGGCCATTTTTATGTCTTCTTTTGAAAAATGTCTGTCATTGACCCATTTTATAATTGGGTTGTGTATTAGCCCGTTTTTGTGTTGCTATAATAGAATATCTGAGACTGGGTAATCTATAAAGAACAGAGGTTTATTTGGCTCATGATTCTGGGACAGCTGCATCTGGCACAGGCCTCAGGCTGCTTCTACTCATGGCAGAAAGCAGCGGGCAGATGGTGGGTACAAGCAGAGCACATGGTGAAAGGAAGCAAAAGGGGGGGTGGTACCAGGGTCTTTTAAACAACCAGCTCTTGCGGGAACTAATAGAGCGAGATCTCACTCAGGACCCTCACCCCCCAGGGAGAGCATTAATCCATTCATGAGGGATCTGCCCCCATGACTCAAACAGCTTCCAACGCTGTCACATTGGGGATCAGATTTCCACATGAGTTTTGGGGGGACAACACATCCAAACTATATCAGGTTGTTTTTTTGCTGTTGAGTTATTTGAGTTCCTTTTACACTCTGGATATTAGAATCTTGTCTGATGTGTAGTTTGCAAATACTTTCTCCCATTCTGGAGGTTCTCCCTTCACTTCGTTGACTGTGTGCTTTGCTGTGCAGAAGCTTTTTAGTTTGATGTAGTCCTACTGGTCTATTTTTGCTTTAGTTGCCTATGCCTTTGTAGTCTTGTTCAAAAAAGCCCGGTCCACTCCCATGTCATGCAGCATTTCCCCCAGGTTTTCTTCTAGTAGTTTCATAGTTTTGAGTCTTAAGGTTAGATCTTTGATCCATTTTGACTTGATTTTTGTGTACAGTGAGAGACAGGGGTCTAGTTTCAATCTTCTGCATGTGGACATCCAGTTTTCCCTGCATCATTTATTGTAGGGGCTGTCCTTTCCCCAATGTTATTTTTGGCACTTTTCTCAAAATTTTGTTGGCTATAGATGCATGGATTTATTTCTGGGCTTTCTATTCTGTTCCATTGGTCAATTTGTCTGTTTTTATGTCAGTACCATGATGTTTGGGTTACTATAGTTTTATCGTATATTTTGAAGTCAGATAGTGTGATGCCCCCAACTTTATTCTTTTTGTATAAGGTTGCTTTAGCTAAATGGGGTCTTTTGTGATTCCATACAAACTTTAAGATTGTTTTTTCTATTTCTGTGAAGAATGTCATTGGTACTTTGATAGGGATTGCATTAAATCTATAGATTGCTTTGCATTATATGGACATTTTGATAATATTAATTCTTCCAACTGATGAACAGAGGATATCTTTCCAATTATTTGTGTCTTCTCCAATTTCTTTCACCAGTGTTTCATAGTTTCCATTGAAGAGAACTTTCACCTCCTTGGTTAAATTTACTCACAGGTATTTCACTTTTTTGATAGCTATTGAGAATGGTATTACTTTATTCATTTCTTCTTCAGATACACTGTTATTGGCAAATAGGAACACTATTGATTTTTATGTGTTCATTATGTATCCTGCCACTTTACTGAATTCATTTACCAATTCAAGTAATTTTTTGGTGAAGTCTTCAGGGTTTCTATGTATGATCAAGTCATCTGCAAACAGGAATACTTTGAATTGCTCCTTTAGAATTTGCATGTCTTTTATTGCTTTCTCTTGCCTTACTGCACTGGCTAGAACTTCCAGTACTATGTTCAATAAGAATGGAGAGTGGGCATCCTTGTCTTGCTCCAGATTTTACAGGAAAAGCCTTCAATTTTTGTTCATTCAGCATGATAATGCTGTGGGTTTGTCATATAATGGTCTTTATTATGTTAAGGTACATTCCTTCTATACCTACTTGGTTGAGTGTTTTTATCATGAAGGGGTGCTGGACTTTATCAAATGCTTTTTCTGCATCTATTGAAACGATCATGTTTTTTCCTTCATTCTGTTGATGTGATGTATCACATTTATTGATTTGCATATGTTGAGCTGTCTTTGCATCCCTGGGATGAATCCTACTTGATCACGGTGAATGATGTTTTTAACGTGTTGTTAGATTTGGTTCACTAGTATTTTGCTGAGGATTTTGACATCTATGTTCATTAGGGATATTGGTCTGTAGGTTTGTTGTTGTGTGTTTTTTCAGTTTTGGTATGAGGGTAATGCTGGCATCATAGAATGAATTTGGAAGTACTCCCTCTTCTTCAATTTTTCTGAAGAGTTTTAGAAGAATTGGTGTTAGTTCTTCTTTAAATGTTTGGCAGAATTCAGCAATGAACCTATCTGGTCCTGGGATTTTCTTTGTTGGGAGACTTTTTATTACTGCTTCAATCTCATTATTCATTATTGGTCTGCTTAAGTTTCTTAATTCTTCATGAGTCAACCTTGGTAAGTTGTATGTGTTCAGGAATTTATCCATTTCTTCTAGGTTTTCCAGTTTGTTAGTATACAGTTGCTAGCAAACTCACACATGCTGTTTTTTCATCGTTAGACTATCTAAAAGTTTATCAATTTTGTTTATCTTTTTCAAAAACTAACTCTGTTTCATAAATTAAAAAAAAAAAATCCCAATTCATTTTTTTCTGCTCTGATCATTATTTCTCTCATTCTACTAATTTCGGGTTTTGTTTGTAATTCTTTTTCTAGTTCCCTGAGGCATAACATTAGGTTGTTTATTTGAACTCTTTCTACTTTTTTGATGCAGGCATATATTGCTATGAACTTCCCTCTTCAACTGCTTTTGCTGTATCTAATATGTTCTGAT